CTGCACTTGTAATGCGGCAATCGTCCGCTTTTACTCTCTTACTCTGTCTCTCGCTCTCGTTCTCTCCCCTCGCCGGTGCGTGCTGCTGCAGCGAATTCCATTGACGCGCGCATTTTTCAAATGCCTTTTTTACGGCGAAAATAACGATTTTTCTTTGCTGCTGTTGCTTGTGCTACCCAGTAAAGGGCGATTTTCTTGTTTTGTGGGCTTAAAATATACTTTTTACGACCATGTATACGCACACATACACACCCAAACAGAAGAATCACGCATATTGGGAGAACATGCGTATGTTGGCTTCATTTTGTTTCCATCAACAATACGCTTTGCCCTTGATCAAGGAGAAGTGTGGGGTTAAAAAAGGGCGCCCCAAAGGTTTCAGCTAAAGCAGAAACCGCCGATGGAAAGGCAATAACAGTCCACTGTTTTGTTATCGATAAACTTTACTGACTTGACATTTGATTTCTTCCTTCCTTTTCAGGCTAAATCCGCCGAATCAAAGAAAGCCAAGAAAGATAAACCCGCTGATGGTGATTCCGATGAGGAGGAGGTATTAGATGATCTCATCGAGGGTGACAGTGAAATCGAGAGCGACGAATACGATGTACCCTACGATGGTGAGGAGGACGACATTGAATGCGACGGTAAGTTATATTGACACTTTTCCCGACCATCCAATCCAAAACTAAGACAAATCTCTCTCGTTTCCTTTCAATCAGATGACGATGATGACAATGATGACGGTTCCGGTTCGGACGATCAAGCGTAATAATAATGTAGTCAAAACAAAATAAAAATAAAATAAAAAACAAGAAAAAAAAATACAAACAAAAAATTTAAATTAATAATAAATAAAAAGTTACAAGCAAAAAACAAAAACCAGAGAAAAAACGACACAAAAAAATCGCAAAAGTATATAATTCTTATGTTTAAGAAATAATTTTCTATTTCTTATTTTATTTTAATTGTATTTTATGTGTACTTTTTATATATATATATAAAAAAAAATACAATTCTCGCAATGCGCAAGAAAGCAAACAAAAACCGTAAAAAGTAAACATCCCCCTCAGAAAAAACACAAATTCTACACAAAAACCAAGCTCTTTCTTTCCTTTAAGTCATAAGTCTTAAGTTAAAAAAAAAAAAAAAAAAAAAAAACAAATAATGAAAAGCAGATCACGATGATGATGAAGAAGAAAAAGCAGGAGAGACGGCGAAAACGAAGAACCCATGATTTACTTAAAAATAATAAATGAAGAAAACAATTAATAAAAGGAAAAAGAAAAAACAAAATTCATTATTAAAATTAGACGTTACATTTTATGAATGATCGAAAAAGCAAATGCAATTAAAATGGAAAAATATACAAAAAAAAGAACAAAAGAAAAAAACTCGAAATTTTCTATCTGAAAAACTAAGTTGTATTGGTTTCACAACTTTTGGCGCCCACTGTGCGCATTGTTCAACGGGAAGTTTGATTTCTACATTCACTGGGCTCTCTCTTTCTCTCTTTTATTTCAGCATTTACACACAATGACACCCAAACATTTACATTACTCGCTAAGTTATAAACAATTTAAGTATTTAATGTCAGTATTAAAAAAAAAAAAAAAACAAGGCATAAGCGAATCAATTAATACTAAAAGGTTAATTCATTTGTAAATTGTAAAAATACAGAAAACAAAAGAAATAAAATAATGAACAAACTTTTAATGTTATATACACTAACACATAATTATTAAGTAGTTTTGGGGCTTACTTGACATATTGACTCACTTTAATTATAATGACTGATACTTGGTGACAGAGCAAAATAAAAAATACGCAAAAACCATTAAACAATCAATAAGAGTTACAATTTTCTAACCAATTTAACCAACCAACCACAATATAGCTATATTAATGAGCATTTAAAGGCTTACAGATGAATAACATATATATTATATATATACTCTATATGAACAATTTGATACCAGAAACAATGTTAAATGCAAATTTTGTAAATAAAAAAGTAAAGAAACGAAAATTTCAATCCAGTCGTAGTGAAAACGAAGTAAATAAAACCCACGAAAATTGAGAAAGTAAATTATTGTAATTACGTAATAAACAAAATTACGTAAAAAAAAACAACACAATTGGCAGTTATCAGATGCCAATAAAATCGTTTGTTTCATTCCATTGGGCGGGGCAGCAGCAGCAGCAGCAGCATAAATTCTACCTGAAATCCCACACCCGCCCTTAGAGTATTAAGCAAGGGTGCTTAACCCGAGTAGGGGTAGTTATTCGAATATGTCTATATACACCTATTCCGCACATATGTGTGCTTGTGAGTGTACATTTTGTGATACATAATTCATTGATTGGTGCCGTAATCGTATCGGTTTGTTTTACAGTTTCAGCTTAACGAGGTTTGGGGGTTGCATGCAGAGGGTAGTTCAAAACTCGATTTCACTCACTCTCCAATTAAGTCGAAAAATTACTTTGCAATGCATTCTGGTATTTTCCAGTTTCAATTATCAATTCAATTAGTATCTATATACGTGCATATCAGCAATGAATCATTTGCATTGTTTCAAACATAACAGCGTATATGTAATTATCGATAATTTAATACAATCGCTAAGCCAATACTCAAACCACGAGTAAGCTAAGCTCGAAATTAATTTTAGATTTACTTTACACCACTCTGCTTTTAAATAATTCCAACTTAATAATCTATAAGTACGTAATATCCCTTAAAGCTCAACCCGTCAGCATGCTAAGCTGAGCTAATGTTTGATTGTTTTTTATTTCTTTTTGAATTACACGATTTCCTGTCTAACAACACAAAACTATCGATAAATATATTTATTCATTTAGTCAAGATCCAAACCAATAGCAAGCTAAGCTCAAAGTTAGTTTTTGATTGGTTCTTGAAATAGAATCGGCTTACTTTAATTTAATATATGTGTATAATTATTTTGCAAATCTCTTGACTTTTAATATATACAAATGTTCCCCTGGAATGCGTCTTTCCATATATTTGACAGCCTCGAACTTTTGTCGCCTCAATTGTTCGATTATCTCATCTGGTTTATTCTCTTGCAGCAGCAGCAAATAGAGCACGCCGCTGGGCGAGAGTATGTCATCCAATTGCTCCAATAAAATATCAGTCACACGCCGTCCATCTGTGCCGCCTGCCCAGGAAAAGACCAAATTGCGCTCAGTCGCGGGATGTTCTGTCAGTTGTTGGGTTTGTAGTTCCTCATCACTGGTTACCACATAGGGCGGATTGAAGAGCAGCAAATCTATGCAGCGTCGACGCACTGCCTCCGTCAGATTACAGCGCAAGCTATCCACTCGAGCTTCGTTCCTTATCGCTGTCCGTTTCGTGGCCTCGCATGCCTTGGGATTGATATCCGTGGCCAAACAGTGGGCGGTGTTGGCCAGGCGCTTGGCCAGTGCAGTGATGATGACGCCGCTGCCAGAGCCTATCTCGAGGCACAGACACGGCTGCAGTGTGTCCAGAAACTCCAAATCCGCTTCCAAGGCATCAAGCAACAAAAATGAATCCTCCGCCGGCTCATAGACGTGCTCATAGTCGGCCGAGGAGAGGTGTTCGGTGTGTGGCGTCTCCATGTCTACGATATGTTGGTGGCTAGAGCCGAGTCGAGAAGCGCCTTCCGCCTCCGCTGCTCTTTCTCGATGAGCCGGTGCAGACCAGTCAAACGCTCCTGGCTGTTGCTGAGGACGTTGCTGATAATGGTCACTTTGTGCTTGACGTTCAGCAATTCCTTGACCTTGTCGGCGAATTCGGGTATTTGGTTCTGCGCCTTCTCAATGTCCCGCAGCTGGGCAGCCAGTGCATCCAACTGACCACGCAGCTCCGATTGCAGTTGTATGGTCGATGCGACGCGTTCGTCGAGCTTTTCGATGGTGGGCTTAAAGAGATTTGTGATGCCTTCGGCCAGAATATCACGTGTGGGATTTGTGCAGAAGTTTTCCGTATTTTCGTCCAAGGAGGTGACCGTGGAATCGGAATCCTTATCCATTGCAAATTTTGCTAGCAACCTGCTACGTCGATATATTGTATAGGATTTCGATGACAAAACTGTCCTAGAGATGAGCAAGTTGCTCTAGTCTGTGACTAGTCACAGTGATTTTGCAAATACCGTCAACATGCAATTAATACTGAAGTAAACTATTTTTAAAATTACTATACATATAAATTCACAAATTGGTATAGCATTCAACAGAATTTAATATAAAATAATTTAATTAACTTTAATTGTCATTGATGACAAATTTGACAGATATAAGCAAGCTTTATTTTGTGATAGTATCACAGTGATTTCGGAAATAATTTTAGCATATTATAAATACCAAAATATTTTGTAAATATA